CGACGCCAGCCCTTCGGCCGCCTCAGCTGCGGCGCGCGCCCCACTCGGACCCTAAAGAATGTACGTACCGCCCCTGCGGGCAGCTGGACCAGGTGGCCGGCGGCGAGACGGAACAGGTAGACTAAACTGAGGGTGAAGGCGCAGGCGATCAGCAGCATGGACAGGAGGTTGCCGCCTGTCACCTTCTCCATCGCCTGGCCCAGCACCGACCCACCCGCCTGCAGCAAGCCCAGCAACATCATCCCGGCCGCCGCCGCCATTTCACTTTGCCGAAGACACTGAAGGCCGAGGTCGCCACCGCTCCTCCTAGTCGACGGAGCGAGAGAAGCTGGCAGATGGTCGTCCACAGGCGGCCCCGGCCCCCAGGTTTCCTACTAAACCCAGCCCCACCCCTCGGGTCCCACGCGCGCCACCTTGTGCGTCACAGAATGGGGCGGGATGTTCCGCTGGCCACGCCCCTTAAATAACACTCTGCGAAGCCGTGGTCTTCTTGCGCGGGATAGGGGACCTGAGGAAGCGGGCTGCGCCTGTGGCACAGTGGTACGGGAACGGAAGAGAACCTAGCTGAAGAGGCGAACCTAGCTGAAGAGGCGATCAATCCCTGAGAATCGCGGGCGACCCACTTTTGTATGCCCGGGTGCGGGGTACCACGGCACGGCGTTGAAGGCACTGAGCGGAGGGATCTCAGGGCGAGTTCGACCGGCTACGGCGCGCTCTGTGATTGCACCGCGAGCGCCTGAGGTGATCTCGGCCTACATCGCGTCAGCGGGGCCTGGGGCGTGAGCACCGCCCCCTGTCCGGGCGCCGGGAACTGTGACACCTCTAACGGTGACACCTCACCCTGCTCCGGGGCCACGTCCTGGGGACTCCGACAGCTCCAAATAAGCCCTCAGGGACTGGGGTTGTGAAAAGCGAGATCGTGAAGACGCTGGCCTTATACCGAAGGGTGGGACGGTGAGGTCAGCCCCGTCCCACTCCTACTAAAATCAACCTGACAGGTATTAATATGCCACCATAAAGTTAACAAAAGTTGGTGATTAAGTATGCTGAGTTTTACGGAAACAGATTTTCTAAAATAAATGTAGATGTTGTAGGACCTCGCGAGCCATTTGAGGCAGCATTCCCCAAGGACGGCACTTTGAAGGTTTAGCGGCCAGAAAGATTCTGAAGCTGAGTTCTGTCCTGCCGTCACAACCTTCGCTCCTATGGCTTCACAGAAGCGTCTCCCATGACTACCAGATTTAACTCCTTCCAGATCACCCATGGGAGCACCTGAGCAGGTTTATTTAATCAATGTTAAGAACTAGGTTTTGTGCTCAGCTACGGTATAGAGCAGCGAATGAGACAAAACTGCAAGGCCCTGGGGGAATGATTAGGAATCGCCAGTGAAAGGGAAATTAATGAAGTGTGTAAGTATATTAATCAAGAAGTATATCCTTTCCCTTGAGGTAGAATGTAATATATCACCCCCCGCCCCCCGGAAGCCTGGGTTAAGAGAGAACATTAACTGCTTATTTCTCCTCTATGCACGGAGAGTCTTATCTGTGTTCCATCGTTTCACATTCCTTGAGGCACAGCGAGTTCTTGCTTCCCTCCCTAGCGCTGCTGTAAAGTCACAAAACTGGTAAGTGTTACAAAAGCAGGTATTCCCAAGGATGTAAGGTGTAACAAATGTAAAACAGTAACTGCCTTTGTTCTTGCTTCTGCAAGTACGCTTCCTGCAGCACGTAACTCCCGCCACAAACTGCTTAAAAGGTGATTGATCCCTTTATTCGGGGTTCAGACTTTCTGGACCCTAGTCCGACTGAGCCGGTGATCACCTTAATAATAAAGGCTCTCCTGAACTCTGCTCGGTCTCTCCCGTCTATGATTTATCCCGCAACACTAGTTGCCTGCGGAACACCTCTACCTAGAGAGCTAACACTCATCTCCGGTCAGTAAATGCAAAACTAAACCCGTTGTCTCCTCCTACCAACCTGTCCCTCCTATAATGCCTGTGATTAAAAGGCATCACTGTGGCTGGGCGCGGTGGCTCACGCCTGTAATCCCAGCACTTTGGGAGGCGGGCGGATCACGAGGTCAGGAGATCGAGACCACGGTGAAATCCCGTCTCTACTAAAAATACAAAAAAATCAGCCTGGCGCGGTGGCGGGCGCCTGTAGTCCCAGCTACTCAGGAGGCTGAGGCAGGAGAATTGCTTGAACTTGGGAGGCGGAGGTTGCAGTGAGCTGAGATTGCACCACTGCACTCCAGCCTGAGCGACAGAGCAAGACTGTCTCAAAAAAAAGAAAAGAAAATATAGCTATATTCGTGAAATGACATTATTTATGTAAACATAGATTATTTTCAATAAATTTATATTTTTATTGATTTTAGTTTGTAATACTGTATTGATAGACATAATCCATTTTAAAAAATGGCTCTCTAGGGTTCTTAATAATTTATTATTTTAAGTCCTAATGTAACCACCCAAGGGGTTCACCTTGCCCGCTGCCTAGAGAGAGCCGATTCATCAAGGCAGGGAAATTGCAATAGAGAAAGTAATTCACGCAGAGCCAGCTGTGTGGGAGACTGGAGTTTTATTATTACTCAAATCAGTCTCCCTGAGCATTCAGAGAGCAGAGTTTTTAAGTATAACTTGCTGGGCAGGGATAGGGGGTAGCCAGTGACACACGTGTGGTGATTGGTCAGGGATGAAATCATAGGGAGTTGAAGCTGTCTTCTTGCCCTCAGTTCCTGAGAGGAGGCCACAAGATCAGATAAGCCAGTTTATTAGTCTGGGTGGTGCCAGGTGATCCATCAAGTGCAGAGTCTGCAAAAT